CTTTTGATTTGAAAGGCTGATAACCCATTAAAATATGTAAAAGATATAAATGCTTATCAAAATAACAAAGAAAAAAGAAGCAATGTAAATAGTGAGAAAGGAAAGCACTAAAGATGTTGGATACATTGTAGATTCAGACAAAATCATCACATGGGAGCCAAGAGCACGGCAAAAAAAAAAAGCTTTTGGGTCTTGGTTGAGCTCCAAACTTTTCTATAAAAAGGATGTCTTTTTGTTAAAAAGCATACTATCTGATAAATAATGATTTTAAGGACCTAACTGTTAATGTGCAACATTGTGACAGTGAACAAGATTGATATTACAACAGTTTTCTCATATGGGGATATTTTCACTTTTAATAAGCAGCATAAGATGAAACTATGTAATGTGAGGGTAAAGGTGCGTTCTCTGAGCTTGTGGGTTGGTTTCCAAACATTTCATTACCAGCCTAGGTAACATCTTCAGTGGAATTTAGGGGATGTCAGTGTTCTGTTTATAAGGGCTTAGGTGTGGGTGGTCAAATGAAGGTCTTGTGACAGGTCTTGTGACGAGCTGTGTGTCTTGTGATGGGTCTTGTGATTAAGGAGATTACCTCAGGTCAGGGTTGTTGGGAGGTAAATTGCTGGTGTCTGTGAGTGGAAGGGGGAAATTGCACGAGGTGATTAAAGGCTGATGCTGTTTCTGGTTGGCTGTGTAGTTCATTTGGATTCTGAGGAGTTCGTAGGCTGATTGTAGGTTAATGTGTCTGTTGATGGAATTGCTTGTGGAGTGCCAGGCTTCGATGAACTCATAAGCATGGTGGTAGTGGCATGCTTTGTGTTGATCCAGTTGAACTGGTCCTGTTTATTGTCAGTGTGGGTAGAGATTAAAGATTTGAGATTGTGGCGTTTGATATAATGTATACAGCAAGTCACAAAAATTCCTCTTCTTCCAGCTTGCTGTACTGATGGGAGTCCTAACTGAAATATAGCTTTTATCTCTCCCAACAAACTGAAAAATCTGTTATAAACTTTATATAAGCAATATATGTAAATATATTATTATATATTTAAATAAATAATATTACCATATTATGATTAAAATTACAATGATTTAAAATTATCCAAGCTTGAAGACTTGAGATACAAAAAATCAGACTGCAAAGAATAATAGGGGTCAGCTGGCAAAATGTTGGTTGGCAAATATGGGATTAAGAAAGGCTAAAGGAAAAGAAGGAAATTTTCTCCAACATGAAGACTCTTAGAAAAAGTTATAGGGAAGAAAACAAATATTTAAAAGTTATGTTAATCAAGAAGAGCGGTAACTAACTAAACTATTTTAGTAAAGTGGTTCAGCTTAGAAGGATTTGGTGATAAAGAGTAAGAGAGCAATGGTAACCTTATATGTAGTCAAACAATAAACATTAGACTAGGTTTTAAAAGTAATTACAGGTGTATATCAATAAAACAACAAGGCTGACAAGGAGAAAAGCTAATAGAATTCTCTGCAAAAATCAAAGCCAAGGATCTGTTTTTTTCCGTGATGTTATCTATACATAAATTGTATGTAGATAAAAGTGTAGATAAAAAAGCAAAACAAGTGCAAGTATAAAGAGTGCATATTACACATAGGTTGGTTGAGGTAAACAAGCAAAGTGAGGTTTTGAGAACTTTCCTCAATGTAAGATCCATCATAATCATAGGAACATTTTTATGTTTATGTCATTTTTTAAAAGACTTTCTTTGGTCAAAGTCAGGGGTGGGATTCAAATTTCTTAACAACCAGTTCTGTGGGTATGGCTAGGTAGGTGTGGCCACGTGACTGGGTGGGCATGGCTTCTTTTTTTTCTTTTTTGCAGCACATCCCCTTCTGGGCCTAAGGGAAGCCTCCTGGAGGCATTTTTTCTCCCAGGAAGCTTCTTGGGGCTCAGGAAGGAAAAAAAACTGAGCATGGGGGGCATGCAGCAACCCCCGGTGCTCCATTTTGGGGCCTCCTACGTCTCAGGAGAGCCTCCTGGATGCGCATTTTTGCTCCTGGCACTGATCATAGGAATAGCTGATGGTCGGGAGGGGAAAAAAAGAAATACCTTAAGGAGTGACTGGGTGGGAAAGAATGCAGTCAACTTGGGCATGTGCGCAATGTTATGCAAGCGAGATGACTGGGTGGGGAGGGGAGGGGCTGGCAGAGAGGGGTGGGGCCAGCCAGGGGCATGATTTGCCGGTTCTCCAAATTGTGCAGTATCATAACAACCGGTTCTATAGAACCAGTCCGAACTGGTAGAATCCCACTCCTGGTCAAAGTTTGATTAGACACACAAGGAATTTGTCTCCAGTTCAGAACTTCTTAGTGCAACAGAAGAATAATAACATTTTACCAGTCCCAGACTATGAATCAAATTGAAGATTAAAGATTAACAACAATAATACCAATATGAGGGGAGAATAAAGAAGGAAAAAAATACTACACCCATACTACATGTGTTAATACATATAGACATTAGACAGCACTGTGAAAATCAGGTATTCAGCAAAACCCAAGTTTTTGGGTTTCGCTGAACTCCACTCCTGATACTATGCTGTTGAATGTAGTGAGAGGTGATAAAATAGAAAGGCTCCTTCTGAAGTCCAATCTCATCTCTACAGTTTTAAACATGTTCAGCTCTAGATTGTTACAGCTGCACCATACGGCCAATTGTTCAACCTTCCATCTATATGCAGACTCACTGTCGCGAATGAGGCCTACAATTGCTGTATGGTTTTCAATACTTTAATAGAGTGTTCTCTTGAAGTGCAGGCATCGGTATTGTCATGCCCCCAAGCATATAATTTGTATATATACTGCTGTTGTTTTCTGTCCCCTTCTAGCGACCAGAACCAAATACCAATCTTTATTATTTATCATTGTCATATTAACCAGCAAACTCAACGCCACTTATTTTATATTCGCCCATCCTGTTCTTTCAATAAAACATCCAAATCTACATATATGGTCTCTTTTATTGGAAGATGGGTGGGTTTAGATGCATGTGGCTGACTTGGGACAGCTGGATTAGGATGGAACAAGTTGCACCGGTTAACTCAATATGGAGACAATTTGCTGCCCCACAAATCCCTCATGTCCCCAAAGTACTAGCAGCAAGCACATGTGTACACACACACACACACACACACACACACAAGTACACATTTCCTTTTCCCCCAAGCCCAAGCATGATTGGCAATTTGTAAGGTACGGATAAAAATCTCCAAGCTCGGAATAGTGTGTATGTATGTGTGCATAGCATGCCAAAGAAGACATTCTTCTCCCAATCCAGACATAATTGGCATTTCCCTATCTTGTGCCCCCTCCAGAAAAGCAGGAGGTGGAGGACGATGCTGCTGCATGACGAAGCATGGAGGAGAAAGTTTGCAGGAAGCAATTTCCCCCAAGTTCAACTTCTGACAGATCTCTGAAGAGCAAGAGGAGGCAGCAGGGGAGCAGTCTTGCATGAGGGAGGCATGAGGGAATCCGTTTCCAATCATGTGTGGTAAGCATGCTGGCTTGTTGGGGAAGCCTTTCCTCATGCAGTTCCCCCACCACTCCCTCCTCCTGGATATTTAGAATGGATGCATACATAATTCAACTACTGTATTAAGCATCTAAGATAAGTAGAGCTAAAAATCTAGATCATTAACCAAGAATTAATTATTATAAAATTAGGGTAAAGTTTGTGAAATCAAAGTGATAAAAACATGATGGTATATACATATGTATGTACATACATGTCTCAGGATAAATGTGATTATACTGTAGTAAAAATAACTTTTGAGGAAAACTGTTGCAAGATTGCCCCCAGATACCTGAAGGATATTGCATGAAAAAAGAATGAATTATATTTCCTATTTCTTAATATTATGTAGCTGATTATTAAGGATTTTTTTTAAAGAAGATTAATTCACCTGGGGGAGGTATCTATAAAATGAAACAATTGGATATTTTAAAATCCGTATCAGAACTTTACTTTTAAAAAAGTTCACAAATATAATAATTTAGTCCATGTGGATGCTAAAATCAACTTGAAGAACTGTGGGTCAATATACATATAACCAAATAGACCTACACACAGATGCAATTTAGGATTGAAAAACTATTAATAAAGTGAAAAGCAATATTATAAAGGTAACATTTGAAGAAAATAAAAGCACAATTCTTTGATATCAGTTTCCTTCACATGTAATATTCAAAGTATTTTTTTTAAGCCAGTAAACCATTCTGGCTGCACCGTGATACTTTAAGTAATTCTTTTTCAGCTGTCACAATACTTCAAGTTGTGGATTTATTCATGTGTCCTGCCAAATTCTGTGTATTGCACAAAATAAAGACATAAAGGACCTAAGGAGCCTCTGAGTCTATATAATTTCAACAGCACTAGATCTGCAACAATTTAACTAATTATGTCAGTGGTTCACCATAATAAGCAGGATGGAAGTACAATATTAAACGCTTAAAGAAAAGTGAAAAGCCATACAAAATTTGATTATTAGGAAGAATAAGCATTTCAGCAGTGCAGAATATATTCTTTAAAGTTGATCATTCATTAAAGGTAAAAAGTAAAAATATAACTATCAAATATTCTATAGGAATCTATCTATACAGAAGGTCTGTCTGCTTCAAATGTCTTTTTCCTCTTCTCCACTATCTATTTACAAACTTCTCTATGGTCACAGTTTTGTTTGTTGTCATACATGGCATATATATAGTGTCCCAACTACTGTAAGACCACACTCTCTATTCCCAAAGTACTTAAAATAATATCTATAGCATATGATGTATTCATTTAATCTAGAATTCTCATCCTTTTAGCCATATGTTATATTACTATTAAATGGCTTCACTATTATAGACTGGACTTTTTTCTCTGTCTTGAATCCCTCCCATTGCCTCAGTATGATTGTGTATTTTGACATATCATATTATTAGGCTTCTGTCACCATGAAAGGAATACAAACAGCAACATTTAACTCAGATGTTTGGACACTCACCTTACACCCCTCACAAGCACTGACACCATAGTGATATCCAGACGATTTGTCCTGACAAACAAAACAGGGCTTGTAAACACGAGGGGGAGGAAGCGGGGAAGGTGGACTGGGAACAAGCTCCTCAGAACTGGTGCTCTGAGTTTCAATTACTAAAAAGAGAGAAAGAGAGAGAGAGAGAGAGAAAGAGAGAGAGAGAGAGAGAGAGAAAGAGAGAGAGAATTTTAGTGCATTTAACTATTGACATTGATGTGGTACAGTGCTAATAGCAGAGACAAGTTAAAACTTTCATTAACTGCCTGTCCTTTTCCAAGTCTTCAAAATACACATAATAGAAAGATAATAATTCTTTATTGACCAAGCGTGATTGGACACACAAGGAATTTGTCTTGTGTAATTCAGAGAACACCTGAAGTGTTTCCTTTTTTATGTATGCCGACATTTATAGCACTATAACCACACACACACACACACACACACACACACAGAATATCATTCAATCAATATAATCCCAGACTACCTCAAACTTTTCAACAAACAATTCACTGATCCCATCCATTCAGCGATATCTACAATGTAATAAAAAAACCCAATCAAAATGGCCTATCTGATGGTGCAACAAACCTTTTTCTTTTTAAATGTCTATCACATAATGGCTGCCATCAATTTTCATTTAATCACAATTCTGCAAAGAATCTGAGTGAATAAAAATTTTCATATACAAAAGTTAAATATAATAAATTGTTTATACCATTCTTTTCCTCCACCTTAATTTGCCAAAATTTCTCTGCTAAAATAGAAAAGGAATATAACACTTTTAAAAACAATACTAATGAGGAGTGAATACAGATATTACAAAATATAGTGCATATAGAAGCCACTCTGAATGGCTATTTTTTATCATATGGTAGCACAGAAACAATCCTGAAGTCAGAGGCTATTCTGAAGTCTGAAAGGCTATAAACTTGATGGTTTGTTTCTGTCTCCTTGTCCTCTCTGCTTTTCATGTCTGAATGAATAACCTATCAGATCTATTGGATATGAGGGACACAAGACAACATTCTGGTTTAACTGGAAAGAAAAGCCTATAAAACTATAAAATGGTGTCAACTCCAAGCAGCTGCTTACCATCAAAAAAACTAAATTCTCTTGTTTTATTAAGCAGATACATTGAAAGGGAAAAAAGGGTTTAGATTACAGAAATTGAGTGATCTGATATATTTACCTTAACACTAATTTATCTTAGTTAGGGTGCGGATTTCTTGATCATTTTGCTTACTACCTGATCATGCAGTAGGGGGAGGGATTCTAGATAAAGGAGGAATGTGCAGATGTTCAGAAAGTATAGTATTTGCAAATCTATGATGTTCTTTCCAGGCTCTGACAAGTCCATTACAGAAAGAACAAGAGAAAATTTTCTCTGGAGAACAAACTCTTCCTGTAAGATACAGAAGTTAGGAAAGAGTCTTATAATGTAAGAAAAAATCCTAACAACATTGCAAAGAAATATCTCAAAAGAGGAGAGAAAATATATTAGTTTTATATTTATAGTACTGCAATATGTATATAACTACCAGTAGGTGGGGCATTTTGATGATTTTAAAAAAATTGTTTGGGTTATCTTGGCCAGAAACTACATTACAGAGTTACCAGTATCTTTAAGTAACCTTTTCCTCCTAGAATTATCATTTGTGATCTATCACATTGAGCTCCTAAGCAAGATAAGCAAAATCTTTCAGTTGCATATTATTTTTTATGTGCCTAATAAGCATACAATTGCCAGCAAGCAGAAGCACCTATCTCATCATAGTGATATTGGGGAAAAAAACAGTATATGCAGGGTTACACTTGGATTACACTTCAAATGCACAGGAAATTCCAAGTGGGAAATCTCAAGATTGAGAATTTAAAATAATCTGGAATAAAATTGGGACTTCCGGTGAAGATGGCCAACTGAATTCATACCCAGGTTGGGATCCCTGAAGTGTTTTCCCAGGGGTGGGATTCAAATTTTGTAACAACCGGTTCTGTGGGCGTGGCTTGGTAGGCATGTGACTAGGTGGGCATGGCTTGGTGGTCACGCGACTGGATGGGCATGGCTTGGTGACCATGTGTCTGGGTGGGCATGGCCATGTGACTGGCAAACCAAATACAAATGGTCCTTGCTTAATGGCCAGTTTCTTAGCAAGTGTTCTAATTTATGACTGATCTCCCCAGAGCTACTTGACCTGTTTTTGGAGTTTTCACACACAGACACACCCTTCTAACCCTGCTATTCTTTGATTCTGTAAGGATCTCTTGCTGGAGCAGGGAGTTGGACTAGATGACCTCCGAGATCCCTTGCAGGCCAGCCCTGGATTGCTGTGCTACTTCAAGGAGTCTTCTGAAGCCAGGGTTTATGTCCTTCCTTCCTCTCCTTTTTTCTCTCTCTCCCTCCTTCCATGTATTTATCTCTCCACCCATATATCTCATTAACTTTCTCCTCTCTCCCTCTTTCTTTCTCTTTCTGTCCCTTCCTTCCATTCCTCCTTCCTTCCTTTCTCTCCCTTTTTCTTTCTTTCCCCTTTCTTTCTTTTGTGGCTCTTCCTTCCTTCTTTCTTTCCTTCTCTTTCTCCCATCTCTTTTTCTCTGTATCCCCCCTTTCTCTTCCACCTTTCCTTCTCTTTCTCACCCTCTTTCTCCCTCCCTCCCTCTCTCTTCCCACCTCTCTCTGCCATTCCCTTCTTCCTTCCTTCCCTTCTTCTAAAGCTAAAAGACCCACTTGAAGCACACACACACACACATATACACACACAAACACATGCTTCCAACGTTGCTTGTTAACTTACGTTCTTCTCAGCTGGTCTCCTAGAGCAGGGGTCACCAACCTTTTGGACCTCAGGGACCACCAAACTCATACTTTTAAATCCCAAGGA